CCAGTCAGATTCGCAAACTCCTCGCAGCGGTTACTTCCCTTGAACAGTTCAGCGTGCGGTCAATTCGTCCCACGGTCAACTCGTAATCTTTTTTGGTCACTAAACTCGCAATCGGAACAAAGTCGGCTATTATCTTATCCGAAGACTGACGGAAAGGGCCGAAAAGTTGTGATTGCTAAACCCGTCCCGTTGTCAACCCTAACCCATTTTTTATTATTGATATTTTTCTGATATTTGATAAAGTTTCAGAGAAATTAAGATATATATTTAAGAAACCTAGCAAGGGAATTATTGAAATTGAAATTTACGTGTATGTAATATGGTAAAGTTGGGGTTTATCTTTACACAAAAATAATTATACTGTATAAAGCATTATCTGACAACTTGTAAACAGCTAACAGAGAACATGAAGACGTTTACATATCATTAACATTTATTGTACAGATATCTAGAACATACTAAACGCCTGATAATAGGATTAACAACATATGTGAAAAAAGAATATTTAAATATTTAGATAACGCCTGTCTAACTCTTTAAATTGAAATTCAACAATTCACGTGATAATCGTGCCAAAAGTTCTTAAAATATGTTGTTTTTTTTTTTCCAAATAATTTCAAACACTTTGTAACATTTTTTTATTTTGAAAAATTTGTTCACAATAACCGACTTGCATACATATTTAGTATCATTCAGTTAATTACTGGTTCAAAGTTTATTGGTCACTTTTTGTCCGTGCTCTCAGTGAAAGGGCGGATGGACCCTAATTACGCATATAATACACGTGCACAAACATATGGTTATTTGTCGACGGGATAATATACGGGAGTGATATCCCGGGTGAGACCCTAATTACGCATATAATACACGTGCACAAACATATGGTTATTTGTCGACGGGATAATATACGGGAGTGATATCCCGGGTGAGATAAATATGATCCGAGGTGGTGCTAACACATTATAAAATATTAAAATGTTTATATACACAATTAAAGCGTCACATTTGGAGGTTGTTTACATTTTACTTTCATCAAAAGACGCCCTACCTAGTGCAAGTCATTATCCCGGTTATATCACTTTAATAGTGTTTTACTGGAAAACGGGACAAACCAATGCTGTCGCATCCAGCTAACAAGTTAAGACTTTATTCAAGCCTTTAAAAACAAATGCAGTCCGTTGAACTTACCGCTGACTTCCTTCGAATATAAAATACACCCAAGCTATTTTGTCCTAATAGATAGCATAGGACATTTATGGAAGAATCACGTGTAATAATTATGTTTTATCCAGTTCTGAAAGTTTGGTACTACATGCCATTTTAGGCATTACAACTTACAAGACATCATTTTCTACATAAAGTTATCGTTACAAGTGCACTTGTTCTTTCTGTGGTAGCTAACGGCATGCTAATGGAGACCATTGTTGTAGACATGTCACACGGGCAGTGACCCAGAAATGAATACGATTTAAATAATAAAACTACGTGCGCCTCTCAGGTCGAGATTTTTTATTTTATTTTCTATTTTTTTCTCAATCACATCCAGTTACATTGGCGTCTAAAGAGTGAATGTGTGTATATCCCAGAATATAAACCAGATTTTTTTTCTGTCAGCTTAAAACACTTAAGCGCAACATTGAAGTAATTCGATGTGAAATTTATTTGTCATTAAATCATGAAAAAATATCAGGTTTTGTGCGATCGTAACTTTGAGCACGGACTTAAATTACAATTGTAATATAAATCCGTGCTTTGAGACGGGTACGTTACGATACCGAAATCAACTTGATTTCGGTAAAGTTACCGAAATCAACTTTTCATTACCGAAATCAACTCGTAAAAACCAAACTAGTTAAAATATTGCTATTATTTCTTCATTATTTGATGAAAAATAGTGAAATAGACTTTCAGTTAAAAAATCTATTGAAAATATTTTATTTTAATGATGTTATTAACAAAAATGTGATTATTGAGTTACTTCCCTTTGTTCTAAACAACCCGTTATGTGTTAAGCATTACCGAAATCAACTCGTAAAAACCAACTTAGTTAAAATATTGCTATTATTTCTTCATTATTTGATGAAAAAAAGTGAAATAGACTTTCAGGTAAAAAATCTATTGAAAATATTTTATTTTAATGATGTTATTAACAAAAATGTAATTATTGAGTTACTTCCCTTTGTTCTAAACAACTCGTTATGTGTTTAGCATTACCGAAATCAACTCGTTAAAACCAACTTAGTTAAAATATTGCTATTATTTCTTCATTAGTTGATGAAAAATAGTGAAATAGACTTTCAGTTAAAAAATCTATTGAAAACATTTTATTTTAATGATGTTATTACCACAAATGTAATTATTCAGTTACTAGCCTTTGTTCTAAACAACCCGTTATGTGTTTAGCATTACCGAAATCAGCGGTGAAGTTTAAATTATGTATATAATTAGTAGATAGTAGATTAGATAACTCTAGTAGAGCTCTATTTTATAGACATATTTATGTTTTTAAGTTTCAACCATATCTAAATATTATCAATCTTGAACGGTTTTGTAAAGAACATAACAATTTTCTAAATAAAATCATATTTTTAAAAAGCTATGATCGGACTATGATGGAAAAATAAAATACTCTGTAATATGAGTTAAAGATAATTATAAATTTGTACATGTTTATGTTTTATGAAGAAAAATATCCAACTTCAACCGGAAGTTCATGATTTTCTATTATAAATTTGAATACAGATATATAATTAGACTGCTCTAAAAATGTTCCATAAAAATTGTATAATGTATCAGGCAGTAAAATTGGAAATTGGAAAGTTTGTGTCTTTCTTTTATTGAACAGTTTAACTATATATTAACAAATCACTAACATATGTTATGGGGACTCTTTATTATAATATTTTTATATTTTTGTCATTTATTTAAATGTTAATACGAAATAAACAGATGGTTCATTATAATCTTTTATCTTTAACATACAATATATGTCAACTGTACCTCCTGTCTTAATTACTTCACACCTTACTTAATACAGTAATACACAGCATGTCATATCGTACAAGTTGCAACATTTCATAATTGAAATTTGTCAGTATAAAGTGTTCCATTTTTTTCATCATATAAATATATACCAGTCATTCCATAAATTTATGCTGTTTACAGATATGAAATTTAAAATGATTTCAAATCGATCTACATAAAATCATTACTTAACACTTTTTCAATAAGTAGAATATGTAGTTAAGTATCCGGGACATCAAAAAATTGCATACATTTTTGGAACAACTGATATGCATTTTGGTAATAATAATATCAAAGCACCTTCTCTCATATACCGAAATGTTTTTTACGGAAACGTTTAGCGACTACCCCTACAAATTAGTTAAAACCGGTCTTTTGACAATTTATTTAATATAAAATTATATTTTTTACCAGCTTACTAGATCTGAAATATGTATAATATAGAACTATAAAAAAAAAGTCTTTTGATATATATTATATAGGGATGGTCGCTATACATGTATGTCATTTTATATTAAACTGTAATGTATTTTTTGTCTTAATGGAGACAAGCAGCTTTAATTTCATGTAAAATAATTATTTTGGATACTTTAAAGTTTGCATGCGCCGATGAATATTAAAGGATTGCGGTTAACGAGTATGTTAATTATGTCAACTAACACCTCCATTGTCCGAGCACGTGTATGCTTGCTCCTTATTAGTAAAGGTGTTATGATGAATGGCTACCGCTACGTCTTTTTTTTTTTAATCAAATCATAATCATTGGATTTAAATTAAATACTGTGATAATTTCCAATCAACTATTTTAATAGTGATCTAAATTAGGCGGATAACTTCAAACACAGTTTTGTTTAATCTTGTATTTTGAAATCATTAAGAAACATCAAAGAGATGATACGCTGCAATGTTATCTGACTAAACATTGAAAATAAGCGATATGAATTCAAAGTTTAAAACTCACTCAAATACCTTTTTCATAGACTTCTGAAATTCATGCAAATATTTTAGGGGTTGTTCTCATCTTTGAAATGAAATCTGATTTGATTTCGGTAATGCAACACATTAATAACAAGGGAAGTAATCATGATATATAATATACATATCCGTCTATAACATCATCATTCTTTATAATTAAATATTATTTTCCTATGTTTATGGTTCAGTTTGAATGATTATATATTAATTAATTAAACAAGACCTTTGAAAATGTTTATTTTAACTTTTACAAGCCGATTTCGGTATGGTAACATATATTTCGGTTCGTGACAAATCAGGGAAGTAATATTGATATATAGGTATTTGTTTCTAATTTCATAATTATTAATTATTCCGAACTGATTTTTTGCATGAATGTCAAACTAAACCTATTGTAATATATTATAATGAAAAAAATGTAATAGAACGCTTAATTGTGATTTTACAAGTCGATTTCGGTATTGTAACATATATTTAGGTTCGTGACAAATCAGGGAATATTCTTGATATTTAGTTATTTGTTTCTAATATCATTATTAATGATTATTTCGAACTGATTTTTTGCATGAAAGTCAAGCTTAACCTATTGTAATATATTATAATGAAAAAAATGTAATAGAACGCTTAATTGTGATTTTACAAGTCGATTTCGGTATTGTAACATATATTTCGGTTCGTGACAAATCAGGGAATAATCTTGATATTTAGTTATTTGTTTCTAATATCATTATTAATGATTATTTCGAACTGATTTTTTGCATGAAAGTCAAACTTAACCTATTGTAATATATTATAATGAAAAAAATATAATAAAACGCTTAATTGTGATTTTATAAGTTGATTTCGGTAATGAAAAGTTGATTTCGGTAACTTTACCGAAATCAAGTTGATTTCGGTATCGTAACGTACCGCTTTGAGACGGTACCGCTCAATTGTATTTTATACAGGTAACTATTTCTTACAGCGACACCGACGTATTATGTAAATAAAGGACGGTAAATAAACAAACTTACATTTTATATAAGTTGGAAGTTGAGGAAAGGTTTTCAATTAATTGCTTTATAAAAATGGATACTTCCGTAGATGTTGACAATATTTTAAAAGATTTAACCACTGGAAACTTATCTGCTGACGAATGCTTCTGTATGATTCTGTCTTTGATAGGATACGATGCAGCAAAACTACATTTTGTAGAGCATATAGAAACTGTTAGAAAAACGCACCCAAAGTTGCATACCCAATTGTATAATGTTTACCGCGGCTATTACGAAAGCATAGACGATAATTTCAACCTTCCAGATAAGTTGGATTGCTCAGTGGAAAATGGCTTTTATGCCACGGATAGCAATGATGGCCAAGACACTGGTTATGATCTTGATTTAGAATTAGCTCTGAAACTCTCTTTAGAAACTGCCAACAATGACGTCGACAATCCTTCATATGCAAGCATGTTAATGCCTTCTCGTACTAAAGATGATTCAGTTGAAAATGTTAATGTCAATAGTGAAAAAGATAAAGTAAAAATAATGACATTTTCATTTAATGACTACAATAGTTCTATTAAACAAGGAGAGATTAGTCCTTTAGATCAAAGTTTATTGTCACCAAGCCAAGCTGATGAAGCAGGAAAAAGTAAGAAGAAGAAAAACAAAAAGAAAAACAGAGTTGACAGACCATTGTCTAACCCACCAGTTGTTTATTGGTTTAGGAGAGACCTCAGACTACATGATAATCCAGCATTAGTTCAGGCTGCCCAGTTAGGTGCACCTGTTCTTCCAATATTTCTTTGGTCTGACATGGAAGAAGGACCTTCCAAAGCTCTTGCTAATGGTGGAGCTACTAAATATTGGCTTCACATGGCATTACCAACTCTGAACAGAGATATGATAAATCATTACAATAACCCCATCATCTTTAGAAAGTCTACTAATTATTCTTCAGACATATTTGATATCATAAAACAGTCAGGGGCACAAACACTTGTGATGAATGATGTATATGAACCCTATTTGAAAGAGAGAGATGACAAGATATGCAAAGCTTTGAAAAGTAAAGGAATAAAGTGTGAAAGATTTCATTCGTATCTTTTGCACCAGCCAGGTGCTATAAAAACAGAGGCTTTATGTATGCGAGGTATGGGGTCTGTAACTCATTTCATGGAGTGCTGTAGACAGTCTGACCCTGAGCCTTTGGGTATACCTGTGGATCCACCTAATATTTTACCAGTTGCTTCTTACCGACCAGAATGTATTCCTGTCTCAGAACTTGGCCTTGGAAAGTTGCCAAAGAGAAAAGATGGGACGGAGGTAAATATTATGATTGTTTAAGTTTATGTAAATGTTACTTTCAGAACATGTGAAAAAGCTATCCAGCTATATAGATGTATGTAGCATACATAATGTCAGTGGTTCTACATGTACTCTGATATACCAGATTTTATATTAAAAAAGCTGCATTGAAATGAGAGTGTATAAAAGATCTGTCGTTTTCTGAAGTTTGTGAAGATAAAAATGATAATATAATTTATATTTTCCATGTTTAAATGAATTGTCTTTTTGTTTGACTTTTCAGATTGATTGGGCAAAAGTGATTAGGGAAAGTTGGGATTTCTCTGAAGATGGGGCATGGGAAGCTCTACAACTTTTCTTAACTGAAGGTATGTCCACTATGTTAGCAATATGAAGGACTAACATATATGGACTTCCACTACGGAGATTTGTTTGCAACAAATGACATTACATTTATATATATTAACTGTCTTCATTGTTTTCTGCCCTTATTAATTAAAGCTCAATGTTCAGTGTTATAGTTTGTAAGATGTGACATTGTGTCAGATTATGTTGTATTTGATTCACTTTTTGGTAAAAACAAATTAACTTACAAAATTTTTTAAATGTTAAATTTCAAAACATTAAAAAAAAAATGTTCTCAAAACTAAAAGGAGCAAATCAAACACACCTTTAATAGTTATGGTGTGTAACTAAATGGGTTTTCATGTTTAGTTTTCATCATTATTTAGGCTTTATGACTTCTTATTTCTTTGATATACTGTATTCTTTCTATATATGATGTTCCTCATGTATTTATATTATTTCACATAAAACAATAAGTTTACATTAAATTATTAACATTATAATTTAAGGAATACAAAACTATGAAAAAGAGTCATCTAGAGGTGATAAGCTGAATACATGTAGGATATCACCATACCTTCATTTTGGTCAGATCAGTCCTAGAACTGTGTTGAATGAGGGGCGATACTTAAAGTCACCAAAGTTTCTACGCAAGTTGGCATGGAGGGATCTTTCATATTGGTTATTATCAGTATTTCCAGATCTTCCTCATGCACCAACAAGACCTCAATACCAGGTACATTAATTTAAACTTTAATTTAATATATAGTGATATATACATGTAGGATATCAATTTGGTGTTATCTGTTTGGCTGCTTATCGGTCCATCTGTCTTTCTGCTTGTCAATTTGCCAGTCTTTGACTGTAGCATTAAAACTATTTAAGTTATGAACCTCAAATTGCCTGTGTGTTTACATTTAATTGAACCCAAGTACCTTTTGCATAATTTTGAGTTATTAATTTAGTTATAAATAAAAAAATATCAACTTGAAATTTCATAAATGGATAGATATCATTAGATATCATTAGAGAGAAGTGCTGTTCCCCAGTTATTGACTTTTGTTACTACATGGGCTTAACTAAAAAAGGGTAGGAGGTGCTAATAAATATAATAAATAGATCATGTATAAGAGAAGTGCAATGTTTAATAACCATAACTCTCTTTTGAATTGTTATAGAATTGTTGCCCTTTGAATTTTTCACATTTGATTATCATACAGAGTATAACTGAAAAGTATTATAGGTATTAATTTAATACTTCATTGATTGGAAGTAGATCTCATTAAATAAAAATGTATTGTCTAAGAACCATTTCCTTAACATAATTTTAGAGTTATTGCATTGTGTTGTTTTTCATAATAGTTATTTCCCTTTGTAATACTTAATATGTATTTTTTGTTTATCATTAAGTCAACATATTGGGTGAAGAACTATACATTGTAGGTCACTTGAATGTTTTAAACTTTTAGGATCTTAGTAGTTATCCTACAGAAAGCATTGCCAAAAAAATCAGAGTTAATATTTAAATCATGTTCTTTCCTGATCTTAGTGGATTTAATGAGTTAAATAATTTGAGCATAAAGTTGCATTCTTTCACTTCACTAGAATCCTTAAATTGTTATTTTTGAATTAATGTCCCAATGACATAACATAGTGTCAAAATAAAATTGTGATATTATATCTCAATGGGACAATTATTACATGTATAATAATACTCACAGGTACGTGAAGTTATTCAAATTTTTCAACTAAGGATATAATTCAATGAATTTTCCTGTTTGTACTTTTTGTAAATCATGGAAGTATGTTTTAAAGTAAGTATCAATTGTCACAATTTATATTGGGAATATAATTGTTTTAAAGAGTCATTTTCATCTATTCATCTTCATGTATGTACGGTATTTGTAGAATTATAATTTTAAGAGATAAATCATTCGCTTATGCTATCATATTACATGATTGTATGTGTTTTTAGTATCAGAGATGGAGTAACAACAAGGTCCACCTTAAGGCGTGGCAGAAAGGAAATACAGGTTATCCATTGGTTGATGCATCAATGAGACAGTTATGGTTGACAGGTTGGATGAACAATTATATGAGACATGTAGTTGCTTCATTTCTGTTATCATATCTCCATATCACGTGGGTTGAGGGATATCTGTGGTTTCAGGTAAGATTTTTTTAGCTCACCTGTCACAAAGTGACAGGTTGAGCTTTTGTGATCGCTTTTCGTCCGGCGTCCGTCCGTCCGTCCGTCGTCCGTCCGTAAACTTTTGCTTTAAATGACATCTCCTCATAAACCACTGAGCCAATTTCATCCAAACTTCACAGGAATGTTCCTTTGGTGGTCACCTTTAAAAATTGTTCAAAGAATTTAATTCCATGCAGAACTCTGGTTGCCATGGCAACCGAAAGAAAAATCTTTAAATATCTTCTTTTAAACAACCCTAAGAGCTAGAGCTTAGATATTTGGCATGAAACATCTTCTAATGAGTGTCTACCAAGTTTGTTCAAATAAAAGCCCTGGGGTCAAAATTGGCCCCGCCCCCGGGGGGTCATTGATTTTCCCTATATGCATATAGTAAAAACTTAAAAGATCTTCTTTTAAAGAACTGTAAGAGCTAGAGCTAAGATTTTTGGCATGGAACATCTTCTTGTGAGTGTCTACCAAGTTTGTTCAAATAAAAGCCCTGGGGTCAAAATTGGCCCCGCCCCGGGGGGTCATTGATTTTCCCTATATGCATATAGTAAACACTTAAAAAATCTTCCTTTAAAGAACTGTAAGAGCTAGAGCTTAGATATCTGGCATGAAACATCTTCTAGTGAATGTCTACCAAGTTTGTTCAAATAAAAGCCCTGGGGTCAAAATTGGCCCCGCCCCAGGGGGTCATTGATTTTCCCTATATGCATAAAGTAAAAACTTAAAAAATCTTCTTTTAAAGAACCCAAAGAGCTAGAGCTTAGATATTTGGCATGAAACATCTTCTAGTGAATGTCTACCAAGTTTGTTCAAATAAAAGCCCTGGGGTCAAAATTGGCCCCGCCCTGGGGGGTAATTGATTTTCCCTATATGCATATAGTTTAAACTTAAAAAATCTTCTTTTAAAGAACTGTAAGAGCTAGAGCTTAGATATTTGGCATAAAACATCTTCTAGTAAATGTCTACCAAGTTTGTTCAAATAAAAGCCCTGGGGTCAAAATTGGCCCCGCCCCAGGGGGTCATTGATTTTCCCTATATGCATATAGTAAAAACTTAAAAAATCTTCTTTTAAAGAACTGTAAGAGCTAAAGCTTATATATTTGGCATGAAACATCTTCTAGTGAATGTCTACCAAGTTTGTTCAAATAAAACCCCTGGGGTCCAAATTGGCCCCTCCCCAGGGGTCATTGATTTTCCTTATATGCATATAGTAAAAACTTATAAAATCTTCTTTTAAAGAACCCAAAGAGCTAGAGCTAAGATATTTAGCATGAGACATGTTCTAATGGGTGTCTACCAAGTATGTTCAAATAAAAGCCCTGGGGTCAAAACTGGCCCCGCCCCGGGGGTCATTGATTTTCCTTATATACATAGCAAAAACTTAAAAATCTTCTTTGAAAAAACCCAAATAACTAGAGTTTAGATATTAAGCATGAAACATCTTTAAGTAAATATCTACAAAGTTTGTTCAAATAAAAGCCCAGGGGTCAAAACTGGCCCTGCCCGAGGGGTGTCATTGTTTTTTACTCTATGTGTATAGTAAAAACTTAAAAAATCTTCTTTTAAAAAACCCAATGAGCTAGAACTTAGATGTTTTGCATGAAACATCTTCTTATGGGTGTCTACCAAGTCTGTTCAAATAAACAAATAAAAGCCCTTGGGTAAAAATTGGGCCGGGGGGGGGGGGGGGCTATATACAGGTGAGCGACCTCAGGGCCATCATGACCCTCTTGTTTTATAAATTACAGTCCTGCTTAAAATATTCTGTAACAAAATGTTTAACTTCATGTTTCCTGTACACAACTTTTCAAGTAATGCATATGTATATCAGTAAATAGTCTTCTTTAATCTTATTTACCTCATTTAACTTAAGATTTATTGAGAAACATCTTGATAGCTAAGAGGTCTCTGACTTAAAGTCAGTTGCACCTGATCATTTTGGGTTCAAATGCTGCATAGGATATTAACTTCTGTCATTTGAGAGAGCTTTCATAAAGAAGACTGGAGGTTTTTTTTTGTGGTGCCCATCTTGACATTAAGTCACAGAATCTGAGATTTAGATAATTCTCATTGAAAGTTATTTATTGCTGGTGTTAAGAATGTTTGAAATAACCTCAAAAATGATAGCTCTATTTTGGTAGTGTGAGGTATTGACTTGATTAATTTGTTGATATTGAATAAAACTACAGAAGCTGTTTGTTCTCTAATTCTCCAGAAATAGGTTGCTGGGAAAAGGATACATTAGTGAATAACATAACTAGGATTCCTTCATATCAAATAAGTTGTCAACAAGAATTCTTTGTACAAAAAGATAACAAACACATAAAGATAGAAGGGTATTTAATGATAAAAACATTTATAATACTGCAAAAAATCTCACTTTTTTTCTCCAAATAGAATGATGCTTGCTGTATTATAAATTTGTTATAAATATTTCTAACAGGTTATATGGCCATATATAAATGGTGTTGTTTGCAATATAACCCTTGCCCAACAGCTCAGGTTATATTTCCAAACAACCATTTATATATGGCCATATTACCTGTCAAAAATCTTTACAACTAACAATGTGATAATTGCTAAGATTAATTTGAAAACTGTTCACTTTATATATATATATATATATATATATATATATATATATATATATATATTATTATTATACATATTATATTCTAGGATACCCTGTTAGATGCAGATGTTGCTATCAATGCCATGATGTGGCAGAATGGTGGAATGAGTGGGCTTGACCAGTGGAACTTTGTAATGCATCCTGTTGATGCAGCCATGACTTGTGACCCTAAGGGTGATTATGTCAGAAAATGGATTCCTGAACTTGCAAAGATGCCTGAAGAATTCATACATAAACCATGGAAATGTCCACCATCTATTTTACGTAGAGCAGGAGTTCAGCTAGGTTTGTATTTACTTTAATTTATGTGTATTTACTTTTATTGGTACTCACTGAATGATATGAATTTGTGTCAGTCAATACAATGGCAGTCTTCATCAGTCAATATAATGACAATCTTCATAAGACTCAGTCAACCACTGAATCTAATGTTGAACATCAATTAAGTGTAAGAAAACACCACACTAGACTTAATTAATTTATAAACTGTTGATCAATTTGTTAAGGCAATAAAGACAAATCTGATTGTCTGGATAGTTAAATCATTTTCTAAAGGATTTTCATTGATATATTACTTATAAAGGTCCAGTGGAATCAATAAAGATCAAAATGGTAATTAAGGTTGATGTCCTGATTCAGTTTGACTCACTTCAGTTATTGAACGCCTGCAGACTTGGGAATTGGTTTTCAGAATCTTTATGCCTATTTTTAGCTCGACTATTCGAAGAATATGAGAGCTATTGTAGTCGCCCCGGCGTCGGCGTCTGCGTTGGTTAAAGTTTTTTGTAAAGTCAAATATCTCAATCATTACTTGAGATATTCAATTGAAACTTACAATACTTATTTATAGTAACAAGGTACATCATATTGACAAGTTGGATAACTCTGCCTACAATATTGACAGAATTATGCCCCTTTTTAACTTAGAAATTTTGGTTAAAGTTTTTTGTAAAGTCAAATATCTCAATAATTACTTGAGATATTCAATTGAAACTTACAATACTTATTTATAGTAACAAGGTACATCAGATTGACTAGTTATATAACTCTGCCTACAATATTGACAGAATTATGCCCCTTTTTAACTTAGAAATTTTGGTTAAAGTTTTTTGTAAAGTCAAATATCTCAATAATTACTTGAGATATTCAATTGAAACTTACAATACTTATTTATAGTAACAAGGTACATCAGATTGACTAGTTAGATAACTCTGCCTACAATATTGACAGAATTATGCCCCTTTTTAACTTAGAAATTTTGGTTAAAGTTTTTTGTAAAGTCAAATATCTCAATAATTACTTGAGATATTCAATTGAAACTTACAATACTTATTTATAGTAAAAAGGTACATCAGATTGACAAGTAAGATAACTCTGCCTACAATATTGACAGAATTATGCCCCTTTTTAACTTAGAAATTTTGGTTAAAGTTTTTTGTAAAGTCAAATATCTCAATTATTGCTTGAGATATTCAATTGAAACTTACAATACTTATTTATAGTAACAAGGTATATCAGATTGACAAGTTGGATAACTCTGCCTACAATATTGACAGAATTATGCCCCTTTGGAACTTAGAAATTTTGGTTAAAGTTTTTTTGTAAAGTCAAATATCTCAATTATTGCTTGAGATATTCAAATGAAATTTAAAATACTTTTTTATAGTAACAATGTACATCAGTTTGCAAAATTGCATAACTCTGCCTGCAAAATTTGAAGAATTATTTGCCCCTTTGAAACTTAGAAATTTTGGTTAAAGGTTAAAGGTCTTCAAAGATATTTACTTGAAACTTTACACATGCACTTAGGGTCATAATTGGAGGGTCATAATTGTATGTCACTGACCAAGTTCCATAGCTCTATCTTGCATTAAGGCTGATTCATATCCCCTTTTCTACTTAGTCTCTTGGTTAATGTTTACATGCAAGTTTTACATATCTCAATAACTATTAAAGATATTCATTTAAAACTTCACATATGCATTTAGGGTCATAATTGTAGGTCACTGACAAAGATCCATAATTCTGTCATGCATTTAGGCTGATTTTTCTTCCCCTTTTCAACTTAGAAATTCATGGTAAAGTTTTTCTTGTAAGCTGTTATCTCAATTACTACTGAAGGGTTTGTGCCCTTTTTTGGGACAATTTTATGCATTCATAATAATAAAGCAGTGATTTACTTGATAAAACATCTTAATTAGAAGCCTATGTACCTTTTCTGTCAAATTTATGTATTCATAGGTAATTAGTATTATTATACTCAATAAAACAACCTTGTGACATTACCTTCCGAATAGTCAAGCCAATACTGTATAATTAGACTCTCTCTAAGGCCTATAACATGAATTTATTAAAAAAAAATTAGACCTTTTGTGATGTTAAAAAATTTAACATTATCAAGGCTCTTTTACTATCAAGCACTTAGAATAGTCGAGCGTGCTGTCCTACTGACAGCTCTTGTTAATATATTTAATTGTATAATTGTGCTTGTAAATGCTATCATATATGATGTTTGATTTTTTCAGGAGTTACATACCCACACAGAATTATAACAGATTTGGAAGAGGCTAGGGAACAGTCTCTAAGAGATGTTGTTGATGTTCGACAAAAGTTTGAAGAATTGATTGATCCACGGACAGGAAATGACCTTGTTAAGCTCCCTAATGGGGTCATCATCCCAGTAATCACAAGAAAGGAGTTCAAGTATAAAACTAGAAATCCAGAAACCAGAGATAACCCACACAATGCTGTACTCAGAGGCTACAGAAGTAGAAAAAGGGATGAACTTGTTGAATACTTGAATGAGAGAGATTTCATGGCAAGTACGATGAAAGAATGTTCAATGAGACATGAACGTGGGCAAAAGTCCCCACAAGCATTTGTGTTAAAATGATGATACCTGTCTAAAACTTTTAGTTGGTTTTTAAGTTAAAATCAGGGTTATATATTTATTTGATATTACAGAGAGGGGTGCAATAGTTAAGCAAGTGAGTTCATGTTCATATATATATATATTTATACTAACTACCTCCTACCTTTCTGGCTATTTATCTCAGAAGTGGAGTCAGTCAAAACATATAACTGTACAATAATTTTCATTGTGTAAAGTGATGATACAAAAAAGTTTATATTTGTGAATGTAATTAGAAACATGTGATATTTAATTGACATTTGTTTTTAATTGATTATAATTTTGCTTTTAAAATAGAACACATTTCATTTTATTGTAAAGCAGGGTCTTGTTAATAAACCCACGTGTGTTTCATAATTATGCTTTATTTAGCCAATACATGAGTGTGTTAGTTACTTACCCATATTTTAGACAGTTTTACAAAATGTACATGTATATTCAATTATGGAATTTATATATTTTTAAACCACCTACCTCACATTTTATCATAGTCATCAATTTTTTATGTACTGCAGTGCTTGCTTTGATTGTTCACATTTATTTATTGCTTGCTTTAATATTTTATCTTTTATTTACTGATGTGTCATGAAATGATCAGAGTACAAATTAAAGATATTACAAGTTCCTGCAGTTTTACAATGCATCAATTTTTTGTTTGTTGGTCCTCATGCAGTCAGCATTACATGCCAACTCATTAAACTGTCAATTATAAAGAGATTATCATCAAAGCAAATATGTTTATTAAAGTGAGACAATTTGAGCAATCAAGCACAAAATCCATAGTTAATTGTGCAAGGGTACCTTTACTCAGGGGTTATAATACTTAGTTGCTGCTCGCCATCATCCGATAATGGCTCGAAAATGATCATTATGAACTGAGGGCAGTAGGTTATAGTAATAACAAATAATACATGCTGCGTTTGCTTAAAATAAAAAAAAAACTTTTCTCATCCACTTATTTTCGAATGGTCAAGAGGTAATCGTATTATTGATGTGTTATTAATACAACAACTTGTTATGGTTTTGAATTTATTTTACTCTTCTAGAAAGGACATTTACAATACTATATTGTTTATCCAAGTATTAAACTGCACAGTCATTCATTAAAGGCCATTAAACCTCAGAAATGTTTTATTTTGTTCTGTTTTGTAAAACCATTATTTAAACGTAATGATAATGTTAGCATTTTTCACAATAGTTATGTATGCTATATTTCTAAATAAAGAAATGTAACCAATTCTGGGCTATAATGTGCCTTTATCAGAATACACAGCTATACTATGAGTCTATAATGATTATATACACATATAAATTTGAAACTGTTATTGCATTTTAGCATCATTTAAAAATTATTACATATCCATTTTGCAGGATATTTCCACGTTTCCTTTAAATACACTTCTGTTTCCGTCTCTCACTGATTTCAGTCCTTTCCAAGCATAGTCATACCTTCTTAACGCTTGTCTCACTTTTACCTTCGACTTGTCACCTTTCAACAACATTCTACGCACATAAACGCTACAATTTTTTCCAACCAATCTGTCAATTTGACTGCGAATGTCCTTTCGTCCAAAAAGTTTATTCTCCCAATTTAAGTTGTAAGTAAATCCACGGCACATTTTATTGTACGTTACGTACTTCCTGGCATGTTTATTTGTTTGTACTCCGATTTCATAGATAGCAGGCACCTTAGTTTTTCCGCCAAAAATTGTCTTAGCCCTGTAACCATGGCCGCATCCTTTTCTTGGACAGCTAACATCACTTGCAACCTGTGTTGCTGTATCTTTCACAACTTTTTTCAATGGATGGATAACAAGCTGCCATTTTGACCAGTTCATTTCCCTCAAGAGAAAATTATTTTCTGATACATTTTCTCTTCGAAGTTTTGGTAAATATTTTTCCAAATATTTCTTATGAGCGGGAAGTGGCTTCTTCTTCTTTATAATTGAAAGAGACTTTTTGACAGACTTAACAGCAGGTTTTGTTTTCTTTTTCTCTTTTGCGATTTTTAATCCCTTCTTTGGTATTTTGCCAAGTTTTACAGTTTTAGGAGAAATGTCCGTTGGTGCATTGTCTTTCAAACCGCCAAACAGGTTTTGCAAGTCCTTATTTATACCCGAAGAACGAGCTCTTACTTCTTTCTCATAGGTAAGGAAAAGGTCGTCTCCCCGTTCCTTGTAGCATACTGTCATTAAAAAGTCAAAGATATTTTTGAAGTCGCTAAGTTTAAGATGCTGCCCATCAGTACGGCGAGCAATTTCCGAGTAGAATTTGTCGGCGTTGTGTGAATGACATTGCACTGAATAGATCCGAACACGGATCTTTGCCAGCTCATCAGCCTCTACTCTCCAGTTTAATCTTAATTTGTTCTGAGGATAGTTTGGTTCATGAGGATTGCAGTCACCTATCATGACAAGTGCCCTTTGAGACCCTGGCGTCCAAGACAGTTTGGTGCGTACCTCGTGAAGTACGAGCTCATAGCATTCATCAGCATCACCCCCGCCGGTAGAGCTGACATTTTGCGCAAAATCTACAAGCTTTGTAACATCATCTGTGAAGTCTACAAATTTCGTGACATAGTTGTGTTTGTCACAATAGTCTCCGTGTGCAAAGATCGCCATTTTAATGCCGGGAATGTCAGCCTGAAGCCTCTGAGCCATGTCTGCAACTCGTCCGCGCACCTCAGCCAAACAAGAACTCATACTTCCCGTTGTGTCAAACGAGAAAACAATCTCCATCGGTCCATTTGGTAGCGCCATTTTAAATGACAATCTGAAATATAAAAAATATACAACTTTAATTATTAAAAAGTACAAATATGTGATTCTGTTGTAAGTAAATTAAACAAATGTTATTATCCTTTATAAAAATTTCAATTTTTCGTATGCAATGTATTAAATTTACCTTTATAAACACTAGGATAGACAAATCTTGCTCTTTATTTCAATTGAATTTAAAGAGTTATCTGAATAATCTGCTATGTAGTAAGTTGTATGAAATAACCGATAGTACAGGTATATATATACTGTAAAGTACTACCTCACTGAGCATGTCCGTAGGTACAGATATGTTTAGACTTGTATGAAACGTGTTTATTAGTCCACTGAGCATGCTCAAGACCGCGATAAATATATATACAACATCTAAATATAGTACATTACAGAATTGTTTATTAATATCTACAAAAGTAAACAGCTGCGTAAGTAAAATATTAAAGTACTAAAACTTTGATACTGCTTAATATAGACCAGGTGTCTTTGAAAGATAGAGTTTAATGTACTATTGAAAATGAAAACCCGTACATATATAATTATATAATATGTATACAGTGGCATATTAATAAAAAGTAGCATGGCATGCATATAATACTTACAGTAATTCATTAAGATTTTGCTGTATTTATTTTGCAATTCAGTTTTCATACATGACATAAATACATATTTTATACATGTACTTACATGATCAATATGATATTAAAACTTGTTGATATTACAGCGAAAATATTCAACACAATTGTTTATATTCAATATAAAACTAACAAGTAGATAAAATAAAACTATCAACATAACAGATGACATTAGCAAACATTTTGAATAGATAAAAAAATGTTTATGAAGTCCCCGAATGTGGCATATCAAATATTTACTGTTCGTCCGTAGTTTGGCTAATCTAGGCTGTTTTTTTTTACACATGGAGAAATTTCGTACCTATTCATTGCAGCAATACCATGTCTCACATGTAAGACATAGATATGCATATAGCTCATGTAACATTTAGAATGAAGTATATTTTTTTGTTTGTGTTCGGTCTATAATTTTGTAATTCCTACTTATTTGGAAATATAAACCTTCATAGGACGATATCTCGACGCAAGACCCGGGTCCGTATCTCCATGATCAACCATATTAACTAGGGTCATAATAGGGTATAGTTATCATGCCCGTTTAACATTCCTTGGTGGACGGCATTCACAATCATGAGACCAAGGTAGGTCAGAAGTCAAATATAAGAATTATTTTCGTGTTGCATCGTTAACATCGTCAGATCTTGATGGATTTTAAAATTACTTTGCGATATATAACAATTATATCAATGTCGATGCATATTTTTCATTTGTCCATGTCATATTGTGGGACACGTACATTTCACGCTAAGCCAACATCAACGACAGAAGCAAGTTTCTCGTAAAACAGTATAGATTTATGACGAACATCTACGGAGCATCTATAATAAATTAAAACATGTTTGACACCTTTTGAAGAACCGAAACAATATTGTCTGTTGGTCTATATTTCAAATAATGTATCAAATAGATAAATTGGAAACCTGAATACAGGATAGACAGATCCGAAAACATCATGCTTACTCGTATATTACACAAAGAATCATATCATTAAAATATAACCAAAGTACATTTCAAACACATTGTTATTGTAATTAAACTGATTACAGCACTTATTCACATAATTGTGCGTATGCAGAAACATATTAACTTGATAGCTTCCTTTCATTCATCTTTTTGTAAAATATGGCATATTGCTGAACAATTTTATCCTGTCTGTTAACAACCTGTAATCAAAAACAAAATGCACTATACAAATAATAGAGAATGTAACATGGTATGGTTACAGACAGGGAATTATATCCATGTAAACCATAAATAAGTCAGTTATATCTACAGTACGTAAAAGTGAATACAAAGTTTTACTAAAGCTGAAGTAAGGAATACAAAAAAGTGGTCTTTAGAAAGAAGACAATAAATTTTGCAATATCTCATAGTTGCTGAGTTACATAGTGGAAGCCAGTGTTATTTTTTTCCAGTTGGGCTACTGATTTTAAAAAATAGACTAACTTCGTATGAAATTCTAGTTTAGACAATCGGAAAACCTCGCCATCAATATTGATAATATGTTCAAGTATTGAATTTTCAGTTTCAGGTAGACTTGGATTTTCAAGCTTTATCTTCCACTCTTGGCCATGCAATGTCGTGATATCATCTCTTGAATCAAGCTGTGCATAATGAAAATCATAAAAGAATATTATTTGGCATTCTAATAAACATGAATAAAAAATCGAACCATTAACTGCTACATGACGGTATTTATAATTGGTCATCATTGTCCTGCTTTGAAAATAGAACTGTCCGTTATTTATGTTAAACACTTTATATATTAATATCAAAAAGCTATAATTAAAGCAAGGCCTGTCCACTATCCACTTTTCTCAGTGCCGTATAGATGAAAGAGACAAGACAGAATAGAGAGCATAATTTTGAAACTAACCTGCAAATACTTCAAGTTTGAAGTGAATACCTTAAATTGTTGTTGAGAAAAAGGCAAATATTCCAAGTCAAAATAGGAAATAATTAAGCAAAAATGGCTTTCATGATTATCTCTCAAAAGCCTCACAAAAGTTCATTTAATTGACGGTGAACAAGTACATGTACTTCAAGTTTAAAAAGAATATCTTTGATACTTATTGAAAAATGAACCTAAACAAAAACTTTAACCAAGGAATTCAATGTCAAAAATGGGATAATACTTCAAAATGTTTATAAATTAACCTTCTCTTTAGAGATTCCAATTTAAAGCAGAATTATAACAAATATAACAGCACTTATTAAGTAGAGCTAGATAAATATTAAATAGTACCTTATGTATTTTCATTATTCCTTTTGACTCATGCAAGAAATGTATTTTTAATAGAAGGAAAAAGATATTCTAGTGACACTTTATCTTGTTTTAATGTAGCCAGTGCCCTGTCATATATAAAACATTATTATGTATTTTCGAATACATAAAACATTTTGAACTATTGAATAAATATTTACCGCATTGAAATTAGTAGTCATCAGTTGAAATAAAAAGCTCATAAACTTCGTTCTATGTGAGGACTTATTCATATACATGGTGACCCTTGACAAATCTGGCTTTGTGGTCGTTGAAAATGCATGTATAGGCGAGGAAACAAATATTACAGTCCCGACTACACTTTCTGTTGTTGTTGTTGGAGCACAACTAAAAAATTCAGAATTCGAGATAATTAGTAATCAAATAGCATTTCTTTTCTTACTTTCCAGATATATTTTCGTAAAGACACTGGTGACATACCACATTCGATTTTTTTAATGTTTATAGTCAAACACATCTGAGAAGCATACTGTAATAAAGAATGCTTTAAAAACATTTTCTAGTATAAAATATAATAAAAATTTCATAACTGACCTTAACTGTCGAGGTCATTTACAGATAAAGGTCATACTGAAAAGTTATTCAACATGAAGGTGATATGTGTTTTATGAATCAACTCTGCCCATTATAATTAATGATAAAAAAGACAAAGTTGTGACAATTTAAGCAAATTCAAATAATTTGACATTGACAGTGAAGGTCATTTTAGGTTCAAGGTCATATTTGAAAAATCACGGATTCGACACGAAGGTTCTTTTGTCCAATGATAAATCAGATTCGTAAATAAGCAACAAAAGGTCAATCATAGGCCAAGGTCATGTTTGATTTACTCAACATGGTGGTTCTGTTATAAGTGTCCCAAGTATAAACCAAATAAATAAATAACAAAGTTATAGCCAAATGTAGCAAAATTTACTTATTTCACTTCTAATGTCAAGCTCATATCTAATCCAAAGGATTGCTGTGCCCTAGTATGAAAGCCATCCATTAGTTACTGACAACGTTATAGCAAATTATAGCAAAACCTGTAAAATTACAATACATTGTAATTTGACCCATAAGGTCACGGTCATTAGTTTATATAGAATTTGTTATAGTTCGTTTGTTTAGGAAACATAAGCTTTCAGATACAATGTCGAATCTGTTCCTGGAACAAATCAGTACTATGTAACGAGTGTAAAATGTTTTGCACAAGGAAACAACGGCTTACCACTAACGGGGTTTGAATTCAAGCAGTCAGATATAACGAAATTACTAGTTCAACGCGCTCATCACTCGGTCAATGTCATGTATGAATCAATGTCAAATTCAGTTTGATCTACTTAAGAGCATAGTCCGAAGGTAGTGTTCAAGTATGAAGACAATTCATTCATAAATAATAAAATCAATAATTTGATCTTCGTGGCTGACATCATTTATGAGTAAAGGACACGGTCAATTTTGTCAATTGAAAGTCTTGTCCAAAGAATTGTTATGTCCATGTTTAAAGCCAATTGATTCAGGATTAACAATGTTATAGCCAATTAAAGCAAAAATCAAGCAAAATTAAAACATTTAACCTTGAAAGTCAATGTCATTTATGAGCCAAGGTCAAGCTCAATCTGGTCTACTTAAAGGTCTTATCCAAAGGGTTCTTGTGTCCAAGTATGTAGACAATCCATTAAGAGAAAATATGAACACTGTTAAAGTTTGTGGACGGCAACAGGAGGTGGCAAGATATCTGAAGGTATAGCTTAATCATGTTCTTCGAAAAAGTCGAGTAAAGTATGTAAAAGTTTCATAACATACTTTGTACTATTTGTCCAAACGTCTGTTTCCGTCCCTGTATTATTTTCCATAGTTGTTTCATTTAAATAAGAGCCAGCCTCCGTAGTTTGTGTTTTGTTTTTTACTTGCCTTAGAGATTCTCCGCTGTAATGCTGTATCGACAACTGCAATCTTCGCTGGTTTTTTATAAACGCATACTCGGCAAAAGCAACTAAAATACAACAAAAGATGTTTATAAAACAAACATGCCCCCTCGTCAGCATGTCGGAAGTTGCATGCAATGTTGCTTAGAAAACGTTTGTCATTCGAGGTCAAAGTGACCTTGACCTTTGATTCATCGACCCCAAATTAAAAAGGGGCCCTCTAATTCCCAAGTCATGCCCCTCTTAAGTGTTGCCAAGGACACATTGGCTGTCAAGGTTTAGGTCAAAAACTGTTACGATATTCTAGGTAAATTAGACCTTGATTTTTGATCTTGCGACCTGTGCAGTTTGAGGGCCCATAGGTTTCCGAGTTATTGGTCCCCTAGCGCAGATAGTGAAGGCTTGTACTCCGTTGAAATTGCATGAAGGTAAATGATCACCACTTTGTGCTTCAAAATTAAACTTTCAAGGGCATGACTTGTGACATCAAGCGGGAACAGTACTCGACAGCGAAAGCTGTTTTTTGTGTCCTAGTTGGCGGATTGACCGTCATTAAGCATAGTCTACATACATGCACATACATACAACAGTTAACGTACTTGCATATCTAAACACTCCTTGGTTTCTTCTTGATTCAGCTGAATTAATTATATCACCCCAAAGTCCATATCCTGTCATCAAGACGCTATAAGTCAGCAACTTGTCATCACTATGAACTGACATGATATTGGCCGGGGACTCATAGCCTTTTGCAAAATAAAATGATATTTGATAATACAGTACCTACATAGTTCAGTCATATATACTCCTTCATGATAGAAACAAACGTGCCAAAATTTCAAGACTTTCCTATCGACCATAGTAAAATGTTTCATTATGTCATTTTTAAATAAGAGGACATTCAAATGCAATTAACGTAATTAGTCCAAGAAATTTGTGAAAAAATTGTGCACCTTCTGTGAAAAGCATGAAACTTGGCATGGTGTCAAGGAATGGTATTTCAAGTTATTTCAGCCTGGGATCCACTTTTTAAAAATCCAAGATGGCCGCCAAAATCCAAGATGGCCGCCAAAAGGTAAAATGTACACAGGACATGTCTAAATAAATTATTTATGACTAAAAAATGATATTAATTGACATTATAGGTCAAAAATAATAATTTCTTGGAAAAAATGCTGAAGTAGCATAGGTAGAAAATTCAATATGGCTTCAAAATCCAATATGGTTGCCATTGATGATATTTTGACAAATTTCTATAATAAAGGTAATTTGTACCATCAACACTTTTCATACATGTAACAAACTAAAAAAGTGGCATTCCTGCATAAAAACTGTATACACAGATGTACATTTACAGAGAAAAAAACTTGCATTTATGGATAAAACCATGCGAACACATTATTTAGCTTGATATTTCAAAGAATAGGGAGCAAGTGATATTGTACACCAAAGGCGTCAGCTTTACAAGTTTTTCATGCAAGTTGGTTTTGTAAAAAAATACATGATGGAATACGTTAAACCCTAATACACTTATTTTTAGCATAAAAGAAGGTCACCGTTAAAGGTCAATAACTCTATCATGGATTTTGACAGAATTATGTCCCTTTTAAATATAGAAAATTCTTCATAATCTAGGTTCTTGTTTAGCTATAAAGCACCGAGAACAGTCTAACACTTTATGATGTCCTACCAATAGCTCTTGTCAATGCGCATGATTCTGATACCATGCAAAGCCGCTGATTTTAATAATGATCCCCAGTTACATGTACCTTTTTATCAAAACATAACACACAAAATTAAAGTTAAAATCAATACAAAACTAGTTTCTTCATGCGGAAAACATCATATCAGAGAATCACCGAAACAAAAAGACAAATACATCATTTTGTGCATCAACATCTACAGAAAATGAATCCTGAGCCTATAGAATGAGGGCTCAGAATGCGTCTTCACGCTTCTGTAGATGTTAATGCATAAAAAGTGTGAATTAATCCTCTATTGTATTGTATATTTTAGTGCACACAATTCCTTAGCTTAATTGAACCAAATGTTTAGTATGATTTATACTAGTTAGTGTCGGAGACTTCAGGGTTTCTTCTCATGTCAATTCTTTTTAATAAATTTAGTTTGTATCATCCTTGTGATAGTCTTACTGCAGCCGTGAGTTCTTTTTCATTAGTAATTTAAGCAGCATATTTTGTGTCATAAATAACGGAATCAGGCTCTTATTATGTCATTATTTTGGCAAGGTTTTGTGAATAACCAAGAAAAACAGAATGATATTGAACAAAAATATCTTGGGTTTTTCTGTAATCAAACTTAAGTGTTTGGCATTATTAAGATTAGTAATTCATGACTTTATATGAGATCAAGTTTAGACTTTTGCAGCTCTTTCTATTTGATAATTTTGATATGAGATTCCAATTGTAAGATTGAGATACTAACTTACTGACTTACTGCGAATTTCGGGGCTGCATTCCAGGGGCAACACTCTTAAATTTCTTGTTAATTTCTCCCTTTTATATTTTAAAAGAGTTGAAATGCCCGACATAAGCCTTACATAAGCATATGTATTTTCTTATATTACAGTATAATAGTTGATTTATAATCTCAGTTCTTTGTTGTTTTTTTTGCATTTCAAAAACAACGGAAACTCTTTAACAAATTATAAATTGTTTACTTAGATTAAATAATTTCTGTTTGGTTTTCAAAACTGTCATAAAACGACTGTACACAAGAACTAGTGAAATCATGCCGCTTTAAGCTTGTCATTTCTTCAGCTTTATTTATTTATTTTTTTATTTACTCGTTCTAAAATCACAATAACAATGAACAATTGACCTTAACTTGACAGACATTCAGTACTAGATCAATAGGTGTTAATTTTAGATAATTGACTAAAGTTTTCTTGTTTATACTGATTAGTATTAGTTGATAACACTTTAAACATTATCTTGCTTAAGTAAGTATAAAAGCAACCTGATGTACAACTGTTGAAATATTTCTAGCATCTTCAGCAATTTACTAGCCTAGTATCCACAACTTTTTTTAAGAACTGTTCACTTTTGACTCTGAACATAAACTACTTCAAGTAGTCTTGGGTTACGTTTAACTTTTTTTTTCTTATCAAAATACGAATTACATAGTCTAGAATTCTCTTTAATTTTTATTATGAAGTGTTTTCTTTTTAGGGAAAATTACATTGCTGTTGGTAAAAATATACAAATATTTCTATACCATTCCTTTAGCACTTGCACAATGACCCAATAAGAGGTCAGCTTCATATTATATCATTGGAATAAGGCTCAGCTTAGTTTGATTGCAAGTTGCTTGAACTTGAAATTACCTAAAATTAGCAAAGAGATTTTTATTCACGGGCAGATAATGAAATTATGAGATGGTTTAACTTCCATTTTTTGTTTTATTCGTTTGTTTCTTTTGAGTTTTCGTAAATCAAGTAAATATGCTTTTAAAAAATAAATCTGAGCAATTTAATTATGAGCATGTTTCAATATGAATCGGATGCTTTAAAACAGTTTCATAACTAAATGGGTTTTTGCCACAAAACATATGTCTCCCAAAACTATGCATGGTCACTCATGTGAAGTTTCAGTAACTTGACCAGTGAAAGCCGGACAATATTTTTTTTATTTATAGCTCTGTCAACCATTTTGTGCAGCGAAGCGAAATGTGCTTGTGATGTGTGTGCACAACTAGGGATAGTTCTGCTCTCTCCTGTAAAGTTTGGTTGATATTCAACCAGTAGTTTGACCAGTGAAGGCCGGGCAAGATATTTCTGCTTTTAGCTCTTGCGGCCATTTGGTGCAGCGAAGCGGAATGTGACGGTGATTTCCACAACTTGGGATGGTACTGATTACTCCTGTAAAGTTGAGCTGAAATCCCACCTGTAGTTTGACCTGTGAAAGATGGACAAGCTTAATGCGGACGAACAAACAGACAGACAGACGGCGAAGGCAAATACAATACGTCTCCCAAAAATTTTCTTCATGCTGATATGGTTAAAAACATGTAATATAATGTAGTTGTGCTATTTTGAACTAATTTGAAAATGATTACATCTGACAAGCTAACATATTCTGAAAATTTCAACATGGTGGCCATCTTGGATTTCGGCAAGCATGTTGGATATGCAAAACCTAGATCCAAGGCTTGAATATAAATAAATATGCAATACCATAATTTTAAATTGGTCTTATTTTATGTTCTGTAATGACGACAACAGCAGAAAACTATAACATTCTAAAATTTTTAATATGGCGGCCATCTTGGATTTTGGCAGCCATCTTGGATTTGCACAACCTGGATCCGAGGCTTGAATATATATAAATGTGTAATATGATAAAGTGGTGCTATTTCATACTGACCTGTAAAGAATACAGCTGAAAAACTTTAATATTTCGAAAAAAATAATAAATGGCGGCCATCTTGGATTTTGGCGGCCATTTTGGATTTGCACAACCTGGATCAGAGGCCTGAATATAAATTTATCTGTAATATAATGAATTGATGCTTTTTTATACTATTCTAAGTATGACGACAGCTGAAATACCCAAATATTCTGAAAATTTTAATATATGGTGGTCATCTTGGATTTTGGCGGCCATATTGGATTTTTAAAAAGTGGATCCCAGGCTAAAATGAATTGAAATACTATTTCCTGCCACCATGCCAAGTTTCATGCTTTTCACAAGAGGTGCACAATTCACCCTATTTTATGCACGGATTTCTTGGACTTCCATGGAATTGCTGCACAATAATATAGTAGTTGTGTAGTAATATCAGCTGATCAGCTAGTTTATTATATATGCACATTGCGCACGCTCAATAACATATGATCAACATAACAAAAAAACAGGACATACAGTATAACTCAAATTGTTACCTATTGCAATTGCCAAAGCTGCTGTTATAACATCACAATTACCATAACAGCCTAATGCTATTCCATTTCCGGTACCTATATAAATACATTATAAACTCTTTTGCCAATCAAAATAGTTGTCTACTAATACAATTTCATATTTTGAATGAATAAACAAGTTAAATGGTACAGATGTATGATAAAATATGGAAACTGAACAATATGTACATGTAGTGTTGATAGTTACATACATTAATTCAATGTGTACTATGTACAGATGTATCGTACGTATGTATTCCATACAGGAAAAACCTAACATAATTATGTAATGTTGGCATAGATTCTGGCATCTAAAATAGAATTTAATCAACTCCTCTATGCTTAACCTAATGTAGCGAGTTTGGTACGTTGGCTAACTTGTACCACATGTATTTTCGCTCTGTGGGGCGCTAGGTAACAAAACAAAATAAAACAACAGAGATATTAGGCAGAATAACGACACAATTTGTCGTATGATCGTGGTTTCACCTAGCATTCCACCATGTTTTATATAGTATCAATCTGATTTTACATCTGCTCATAATTAACGTAACACTTCATGCAAATCAGACTGTATATTGTATATACTAGTGGGTACCTACCACATGGTATCACTCCAATAGGGATATAAATGACCGGTACATTTTCATCAGGATCATCAATATTAACATTTTGTTCTGTTGCTAGGCGTCTCATTAGACCATTTACACATTCTTGGTATAACCCGTCCCCACCTACCAACACCAATCTAGAAATATTAAAATATACATATAGTGCAATTACAGATTATTAAATCAATACGTGTCATCAGAAATGGTTCAATTACAAATACATATTTTTATATATATCATTTATCAGACAGTGAATTATTCTCTCTAAAACTTACATATTTACATAAAATGATAGCCTTCTTACATGATAATAATTATTCATCTGGAAAAAATCATTACATTAAAGATTTAAACCCTGACAGAAAAATTGTCAAACAAGTCGAATATCTTTTGGCTTGTATCCTTTCAGGAATATATGGTAAAGGTTGTTCAAAAAGCAAAATGCAAAAGGAGATAACATTATGTTAAAAACAAAGTTAATGATTATTTTTATTTCTTTTATTTCTCTCAATGTAAGTACAAAACTACACTGCGGAGAAACTTAGAGGCGTTAACTTACCCGTTGATGGAGTTGAGATCATAGGTTGATAATATTTCCTCCGTATGATGAGCTCTTTGTGTCACTATAAAATATTACGTTTATATTTATTATCTTTAAAGTATATTTACTATAAAATATTACGTTTATATTTATTATCTTTAAAGTATATTTACTATAAAATATTACGTTTATATTTATTATCTTTAAAGTATATTTACTATAAAATATTACGTTTATATTTATTATCTTTAAAGTATATTTACTATAAAATATTACGTTTATATTTATTATCTTTAAAGTATATTTACTATAAAATATTACGTTTATATTTATTATCTTTAAAGTATATTTACTATAAAATATTACGTTTATATTTATTATCTTTAAAGTATATTTACTATAAAATATTACGTTTATATTTATTATCTTTAAAGTATATTTACTATAAAATATTACGTTTATTTTTATTATCTTTAAAGTATATTTACTATAAAATATTACGTTTATTTTTATTATCTTTAAAGTATATTTACTATAAAATATTACGTTTATATTTATTATCTTTAAAGTATATTTACTATAAAATATTACGTTTATATTTATTATCTTTAAAGTATATTTACTAGTCTTATACAAAATCTTCTCTTTAGCCAACCTTGGTGTTTGCAAAAGGTACAAATGAGATAAGCGTCGTAAACTTATCTTATTTTGTTTTCTTTCTTTTTTTTGAGACAATTCATTTTTAATGTGAGTAAAATATTTTAACGTGCCTAAAAACCATAACAATAAAAGTTGATATCTAACTCGGAGTTGTGGTATTTCTTTTATTATTTACATTACAAACTATTAAACAATTATTGATGCTGTAATAATAACACTGAAATATTAAAGATACAGACGCAGTTTAATACGAGAAGAATAAGTGCTTTCACTTCACTTTTATATGCATTCTTCTCGACTTCATGTCATATGCAAACGCCCCCTCGCCACCAAAATAAATCAATGAATAAAGCATTATTTTACAAGTTAATACCACCGTACATTACCAATAACATCTGTCTCAATTCCAGCTTCTTTGAAGATAGGTGCCACCTTTTGTTCATATGTAGATCTACCTTTACTTCTTCCACTGACTGGATTAATCAACACTAATAACTTCCGAGGTCTCTGTTCAACTATAATCATATAATATTTTATACCTGACATCGAGGGAGAAACGAATAGACGTACATAAAATAAATACATTCTGAAACGATGTAATTTTAGAGAACAGTAAAAATAAAACAAACGTCTTTTAAAGAGTTACTCTTTGTCTGGTTATAAAGGTGGCTCGATCCGTATTAATATTCAATAACAAAAATCAAATGAATATAACATAGCAATGTTACGTAAGTTAAAGAACAATTATTATATAATAAAACCCTTACTTTTCCTGATTAAGGTCGATATCTGTTGATATAAGTTTGAGACAATTTGTGAATCGCCTGATGTGAATGTAACACAACATAATTTCAAAATTAACTTTTTTCCTTGTTTCACATACGAAACGCTTACACCGTTCTTGTCGATTTCTGTTTTTGTGGAGTTGCCCAGAGTTACAGCTAAAATGTCAACTACTCTGACGACTTGAAGTCCTACAAATATATACTCGCGTATGTGTGTTTTCATAAAATACCACCTAAAATGACATTTTTTTTATTTTATTAGATTATAAAAAGCTTCACTGCTTTCTAAGCCCTTGTACTAACAGTTTGAACATGAAGAAAATACATATAATGCTTACTTCTAAATTAATTCGATACAATACTTTACCTTTTTAGATTAAAATGATTTTGTTTTAAGAAAGAAAATAATCTATAGATTTTCTAAAGTCACCATTTAATATCAATATGTTACTAAGTTACTTTAATTTATGATAGTTACTTTAACTTATGATGTAAACCTTTTGTCCCCTTTGAAACAATCTACACCAAATGTATACATATTTATTAAATACATTGTTTTACCCTTCATCTGTTTGTTGCCTGCTATATGCCACCTAAATTCAGCATCTGTTAGACGGACATCATAATCTGTAGTTTTAATCTTACATGTACACTTGGCTATCACATCTTTATCAGCAGGAACCGCTTCTTCCTCTGCCATTTTTCTAAAACAATAATTTTCTTAATAATCACGTTTCGTGAATTTTCTTTTTTGTCTCGAAATTTTGAATCGCATCAAATAAATAATGGTCTTATATCGCTAACTTGAGAAAATTAAACACAGCATCTTTTTGTAATGTCTTTACTCCTATTATAATATTAATCTTATAACTAATTTCGCGCCCCAGTTAAGTCCTGACAAATCATCAATTGGCATCATTTAAATAGGTAGACACATATAATCATATTTTTAGTATAGGTTAAAGTTTATTTGTACGTATTTACAAAATTAAATTGGTCAGGCGCGGGGCAGTCGCGCGACGAATACGTACTAATAAATTAGATTGAAATAAATAAAACGTACAAGTACTCGTAATATGTTCTGTCTTGACGTGCGTAGATTTAGACATTCGTAAAGGTAGCATTTTACGGCTAAGTGCATAGATGAAAATTCCTCCGCAGCTATTTGACGCATGCTTTAAAACCGCTTGTTTTTTCCAAACTTTCCCTAGTATGGTCCATTTCTTTAAAACTTTCAAAGATATTCACTTTTTGGATATTTTTCCTCTTTTAAAAGTGAAAGCCTTTCAAAAAAGCAATAAAAATGAAAGACTAACAAGAGTGAACGACAGGCACTAAACGCAGCCTCATTTGATTTTTTGACTTAAAAAAGGTGAGCCTAAGGGATTTCCCTTTAGAATAGTTGTACTCTAAATATATTCTTTCATTTGGTTAAGATATGATAATTTTATTTTTCTAACCTCCGAAATATCTGTACAGAATACCATAACGCTTCGAAAGTGCTGGTTGCATTGATTTGACCTAAACTACATTTTTTCTCGTGAAACATAATATTAATACATAATCTAAACAAATTCAAGAAAAAGTCTGTTTTTTAATTGACTACATAAAAACAAAACTTGGAAATAATTTCTTTTTTAAATATATAATCTATAAGTAAGTAACTGCATGAATAACAGGATAAACCATACTATAGTATTTAAAGCTACATTAAATAAATTTAATAGAAAAAGAAATAGCTTCATTTCGTTAATTAAATATGTTTCAAATCGACTCCCGTTCTTATTTTGGTGTCCAGACAACCAAGATGAGTTTTATAAGCCTTAAATCTACAACCTCATTGTGGCGAAAGTACAATTTCTTTTTGCATGAGAAACTCCACCTTTAGGTCATGCGTACATCAATAGAAAATTAACAAACATTTTTAAGAAGCAGTCCGAATTTAACGGTATATTTCCGCATAAAATTACGGGTGTTTTCATACAAATTCAATCTTTTTATGAGATAATTATTTTTTTTTTTTTCAGGGCTAATGCACCGTGAAACTAAAACGGTAAAAGTTTGTTTGCACAAAAATATCTCCTATTTGCTGTGATCCACATAGTTACATTTGATTTTACCATTGTGACATAGCGAATACACGAGCTAATTATACAAGTCTTCATTTGCATGTTAAAATTCGTATGTTACCGTGGGGTTTTCATGTTAAAATCATAACTTATGAACACTTTTTAATGAGATTTACAACAATACTGTTAAAAATATTAACGAAACTATGGAATACTTTGTTTGTTAGCCGACAGGTAAAATATGTTTACATAATTTTATTTAATGTAAAGTCGACCAGCAATATAGTATGTATGTAAAGCGGAACAGTTCTAAATCCACGTTAAATAAACAACAACATTGCACATTTGAAATGCGGAAGAACTCGAGCTTTATCAAGTCTTAGAGCAAATAAGAAAAAAATAAGCCACACCACAACACCAAACAGTTACATATATATGCAACATAGAAAGATGAGTATACCAACCTGTTGTTTAAATTTATCCAATATGAAGGCCGATAATGTTTTATCAGTAAATAAATATGTCACGAATGTGTGTATTCATATATTTACACTAGCGTGAAGTAAACATCAAAAACTGATAAAAATATAACTTAAAATAACCAACTTGCTGTACAAAATTGACTATTACAAATATAACTTCCCAGGAATGTCAGTATGTATAATTTCAGTAACCATAAATGATCCTCTCAATTATTCGTAATCATGGGCAATTTATTTGTATGGAACGCCAATGTAACATAAATTCAAAAAGCTGATCATTCTGTTATTATTCGCGTCATATCCGTGCGAATACATTATAATAATAAAAATTTGATTTTCTTTTTAAATTCAGAGGTTATTTCGATTTTTATATCAGAAACCATTTCGCTTTTAAACAAATTTCATGAATCAATCATACCAGACGAGAGCATTGTTAGCTCATAAGTCGTAAAAGAAGGATGTGAAAGCTTCAGAAAATATTCTAACTAGGGCACAAACTCGCGATCTCTTACTTATGAAAGTAAGAACGCCCAAGACAATTGAGCCAAAGAATTGTTTCACTGACGCTTTTGTCAGAGGTCGTACAGTGAGTTAGCCAATAGCGGATCATAGCCAATAACGGGTCAGTCAGTTATTTAATAAATTATTTTACTAAATGTTTTGAACTTAAAAGTGTTATAACCTAACAGTCATGTGCATTAGGATGTTAATTAGCTCCTCGACACCGAAAAAAAAGTAAACATCCGGATAATTCTAATCAGATTCATTCAGATGCTTTACCAAGCGTTTCCGTTTGTCGCGAAATATTGCGCCAGTAACAACACAAATTTGCAGTCGCTGCTTTATTGCTGAAAAACCCAAAAAGATATTAGATCAAAGCTGGTAGGTATTTGATGCCCAATATGTTAACTATCTGCAGCAGCAGCCGTTTAAAAAATGCATAAGGAATTATAGTGATAGCGCTGGTCAATTAAATTGCATCACGTTGTCCATTAGCGGGTCATGCAATTTTCCAGGAAGGGACCGCCTCAAAATTATTCAATAGGTTTTAGAAACTATTTTTTAAAGCAAATTTTGGTTTGTATACAAAGAAATATAAAATTTAATTTATTTATGTTATTATTGCAAGTGAATTATGCAGTCCATGCTAAAATATGGTGTTTTATGTAGTATAAACTGCTGCAACATTGAAATATTATTGTTCTAGATTCTAAAATATTATTTTTAACTGTACAGTAACTTCTTTAGTTTTAAGTTATCCACTTTAAACTTCAAATACATGGTTTTTCATCACCTGCAGGATGTGTGACAAAATATATTACTTTAGCACAAATTTTTTTACAGAATTATTTCCCCATTGAACTTAGAATTTTGTTTAAAATTTAATAATTTTTATTATTATTATTATTATTATTATTATTACTTCTTCATTTCTTGAGGTATCTCCTTTTATCTTCAAATGTTTGTTACTTATTATCACACACATCACATGTGATAGATTTATCACTCTAGCATGAACATTTTTGTAATCACCCCCACCCCGGACTTTTGGTTATTGTTCTTTGTCATTACTCACATCATGACATGACAAGCTCATTTGTTTACTTGTTTTATTGTTTCAGATTCTAATGCCTAAGGGAAAGAGAAAAAGTGTTCAATGTAGTCCAGCCCAGAATGCAGCCTCCTCAGTGGTAAAAAATAAAGAATAATAGTTTTAAACATGGCTAGCCCATAAAAAATAAATAAATGCTTTAATGCTGTGCTGTTATTTATTCTTTTTTCCTAACTTATTCTCATTAAGATTACTTTTTTATATAAATAAAGCTATTGTTAAATCTAATTTTCCTTTATTAATGAAATAATTTTTATTTTTCAGGAAACTTCAGGACAATCCATGGTCCTTAAAAAGTCAGTTATCAAAGGGTATCACGCTTTTCAAATAAGACCACCATCAACTACACCCCCAACACGTCTAACTGTAGAGCCTGAATATACAAATATCCATGATACTGATGCCTGCTTGGTGTGGTTGCCGCCACTTGAGTCATTCCAAACATTGTTACATGATAGTGTCACTGACCAAAAAACGCAAGCTACGGTTGCGAGATGTAGCAGGACTTCCAATTGGCCATGTTCCACGAGGGATAGCTGGCATTTTTCGTACCATTATGGACAAAGGACATATCGATATGGAAGTAGATGTGCACTCAACCGTACAATCGCAACCAACCGCATTCATAAGCTGGAATGTATGCCGTAATATATTTTCGTGGACAAATTAACTGATACTAAACTTGAACGAAACTTTAGACCACATACATTTGTGTATATATCATTATGGGTAGCCATGCAGTCTCAATAATAGTTACGACTGACACCGGAAGTCAAAGCTGATTATCTGGCATTAAATTTCTACATCGCTATGGCCTACACCAATCACACTTGCTTCCAGTAACGATGAAGATGCACACTGGAACCAGTGATGGCATCAAGATACTTTGAGCCCTACTTCTTTGTATCTCAGGATGAGATATGCGTGGAGACGACATTAAATGACGTATGTAACCGACTCTGCTGTAAAACTGCTCATCAGCGGAGAAACTTTTGTTTACCTAGGCATCGTAGTTATTCGTGACTTTGAAGCACTATGTACATGTACAACCAGGGACACTGCCACTGTAGTTGATTACTCCGAGCATTCCGTCTCAGATACGGTCGTCTAATTCTTCATACCAATATGTGCGGCACTTGTTTATGATTTGTTATTGTAAAGCATGCAGTCCTATTTTAACTCACCTCAGACTCATACATTACCTAATATACATTATTATACATATGTTGTTGTATAATTAAATATTTAATATACACAAGAGAAGATAAGTTTAACACGACATAGTATGTTCCAATTTATGTTCACAGTTACTCCTTTATCTCTTGATAATGGTATATCAATGTTGTGTGTGTGTGTGTGTGTGTGTGTGTGTGTGTGCGTGCGCGCGCGTGCTCGTGTGCGTGCATGCGTGTGTGTGTTACATACGTGTTGTAATGTAGTGTTGATCTCCTTCTCTCCTTCTCTCCCTTTTAAGGCATGTATACTCAGTCTTTGTGGCATTTATTCTACAATAGAACTTGGGGGTGGGGGTGTAGGGAGATTGAGATTAAGAATGATATTGTATACATTGTAAAATTATCTCTTTGAAGACCAAAGACTAAACTGATATTTTCATCAATAGGCATACTACAAGGCTATCAGAAGTGCCAATACTTAAAGAATACGCCCTAATTAATTCAAAATAATATCCTTGCAAAGGCTTGGTGCATGAAATGAGAGGTCAAATCTTTGAAACCTTTACATTCGTATAACGTAAGTCTAAAAATAACGTGCTCGGATTCCTCCAAATGTATTGTGGGATTTATTGTTTTCTTTCCTTGCTAAATTTTATATTTAGATCTATGCAAGTTTGTTAAATGATTAAAAGTATAATTACATATTGATCACACAGTCTGTAAATCTAGTTCAAGACTAGAAAAAAACTACTGGCCCAAAAGTTGAAATATGTATCTTACTAAACAAGCAGAAAATATTGCGCTTCAAATTTTAATTTATTTTTGTTATTTTCTGTTGGTTTATACAGAATTGATTTTTGTTCGATTGTGTAGGAAGCTATAAGCCTATAGACACACTTTCGAATCCGTTCCTGGAACCAACCAGTACTGAGCAATTATTTTCTGTTGTTGCAGATCATACTAGTATATGCGATTTATAATCACGGTTCAATTTTTTTACATAAACATAATTAGGCAATTCAATTATTTTAGGTTGATTGCGACAGTGAAGAAGGTCTGAATACTTTGGAATAGATATACATGTACACAGAATATGTCGTTTTGTGTTATATCTGTTAAGTTACAAGGAAAACTATAAATTAATTCAAAGGAGATGAACTCAAGACTTGATAACGTCCAAATATTAAAAAAAAAATATTTAAAATAAGCCAAAGTACATATATATTTCTATTTACATCAGCTAGTCATCTTGTATTCCTAAATCTAAAAACCTTGGTTGCCGGACAACCATAATTAAAACAGAAAACATGGCGAAAGTGAATAAGGATATAAAAGTAGTTACGTAAATAAGAATGGTTAATAATTTGTTGATAGACAATTCAACTTAAAAATAGTGTACAAAATGCCTTTAGGAGACATTTTAGCTATTCTGTTGCTCGAACCATCATGCTCTTAATACGAATGTTACTGAATTGTTCTACATTTAAGGAAAATGGTCAAACTAAAGAATTGTTTCATCTTGAAATCTGACGCTTGTTTTATTTAGCATATTGTTGTAGAAAGGTACAAAATTAAAGTTATAAATATTTTAAGGATTAACATTAATTTTATATAAAACACATAAAATAGTGACGCATTAAAAATAAACTTCGACAGCACCGAAATAAGATGAAGTGTTAAAACGAACACAAGTTACGCTTTATTCGATGAATATGATGATCGAAGAAAATAAAAAAGTGTTTTTCAAAATTTGTTTTCAAAATTAACAAATGATTTTAAACAAGAGCTGTCACAGAAAGTGACAAATGCCCCCGAAGGATTCTCGTTATAAAGCACCTATTACATGCTAGTGTGGGGGTAAAAATTGACAGTCTTAACTCGAGCAGTGACCTCTAAGTTAGACAAAGAAAGCTCGGTCTTGTTCGCAACACATTGTCCATCTATGGTGACTTTATATTTTAAAATAAAAATTGAAACTTTCATGTATATGGAAGTTACAGACCAGACACAACAACCACCATTTATATGTATATAACATAAATATTGAAAATAGCAGTGACCTTGAACTAAGGCGTACACAGGTCTTTAGGGCAACACATCATAAATTTATAACAATTTCATATGTGAATTTAAAAAATAAAATCCTTTCATGCATATTAGTTTCAGAGCAGACAAGACCAATCTCTTCCTATAGTATATTTAAACATCAAAAAAAGTTTTGAAAACAGTTTTGCCCCCCCCCCACAGTGACCTTTTGACCTAAGTCATAGAAACCAGAGTCTTGTTCGAGACACGCCCATACATGTTAAAAGGTTTGGTTATTTCATTTATGAAAGAAAAATTGAAAATTACTTTCTTGCATTACTGAAGTTTCAGAGCGGACCACGACCACCACCAATCTATATCTATAAAAACATGTTTTGAACCTCTACAGTGACCTTGACCTTAGTTTAGAAACCCGGGTGAAGTTCTAAAAGTTCATGGCACACACAATATATCTATTGGTTTCTTTAAATAGTGGAAAGAAAAATTGAAATCCTTACATGCATACTGAAGTTTAAGAGCGAACAGGACCCACCATCTTCTATATTTATATAACACTAAAAAATGACAAAGTTGAAACCCCCACATTGACCTTGGACCTAGTTTGTATAAAGCCAGGGTTGTTTTCACGACAACTATACATCTATGGTTATTTCATATGTGAAAGAAAAATTAAAATCCTTTCATGCATACTGAAGTTTCAGAGTAGACATTACCACCACCTTCTATATTTATATAACATAAAAATTCAAAATGACAAAGTTTGAACACCCAGAGTGACCTTAACCTTAGTCAAGGAAACCCAGGTTTTGTTCGCAACATAACATACATCTATGGTTATTTAATATGTGAAAGAACAATTAAAGTCCTTTCATGCATACTGAAGTTTCTGCGCGGACACCACCACCACCATTTATATCTATATAAGATAAAAAATGACAAAGTTTGAACCTCCAAAATGACTTTGACATTAGTGGTAGAAACTTGAGTCTTGTTCGCGACATACCATACATCTATGGTTATTTCATATGTGAACTAAACCAAGAGGGCGATGAAGGCCCTGGATCGCTCCCCTGACCCATCAACCGCATCCAAGCAATGTCTTAGACAATCATCCTGGCCAAGTTTGATGCCAATTCAGTCACAAATGTGACCTCTAGTGTGTTAAAAAGGTTTTTCCATATTTGGGCAATGTGACCTTATTTTTGACCGGAGACGACCCATATTCAAACTTGACCTAGAAAATCATCAAAACAATCTTCCTGACAAATTTCCAGAATATTTGGATCAAAACTGCAGCCACTAGTATTAAAAATATTTTTCTATTTTTAGCTCCTGTGACTTAGTTTTTGACCGGAGATGACCAATCTTCGAACTTGATCTAGAAACCATCAGCGCAACCTTCCCCTGACAAATTTCAGAATATTTGGATCAAAACTGCAGCCTAGAGTGATTACAAGCTTTTTCTATTTTTCGCTCCTGTGACCTTGTTTTTTGACCGGAGATGACTAATCTTCGAACTCGAACTAGAAAATCACAAAACCCCCCTTTCCCTTTTGGAAAAATTTCAAATTTTTGGATCAAAAACCTGGCAGCCACTATAGTGTTAAAAAAAGCTTTTTCTATTTTTAGCTCCTGTGACCTAGTTTTTGACCGGAGGTGACCAATCTTCAAACTTCCTGACAAATTTTCAGAATATTTGGATATTCCCTGTAAAACCGTATATATTTATGACGAGTATCTACGGAACATAAATAATAAATTAAAACATGTTTGACACCTTTTGAGGAACAGAAACAATATTGTCTTTTGGTCTATATGTCAAATAATGAACCAAATAGATAAATTAGAAACCTAAATACAGAATAGACAGATCCGAAAACATCTTGCTTACTCGTATATTACACAAAGAATCATAACTTTAAAATATAACCAAAGTGCATTCAAACACATTGTTATTGTTTAAACTGATAACAGCACTTATTTACAGAAATGTGCGTATGCAGAAACATATTAACTCTATAGCTTCCTTTCATTCATCTTTTTGTAAAATATGGCATATTGCTGAACAATTTTATCCTGTCTGTTAACAACCTGTAATCAAAAACAAAATACACTATACAAATAATAGAGATTGTAACATGGTATGATTATAGACATGAAATTATATCCATGTAAACCGTTAATTAGTCAGTTATGTCTACAGTACGTAAAAGTGAATGCAAAGTTTGACCAAAGTTGAAGTAAGGAATACAAAAGTGGTCTTTAGAAAGAAGACAATAAATTTTGCAATATCTCATAGTGGCTGAGTTACATAGTGGAAGCCACTGTCATTTTTTTCCAGTTGGGCTACTGATTTTAAAAAATAGACTAACTTCGTATGAAATTCTAGTTTAGACAATCGGAAAACCTCGCCATCAATATTGATAATATGTTCAAGTATTGAATTTTCAGTTTCAGGTAGACTTGGATTTTCAAGCTTTATTTTCCACTCTTGGCTATGCAATGTCGTGATATCATCTCTTGAATCAAGCTGTGCATAATGAAAATCACAAAAGAATATTATTTGGCATCTTATAAACATGAATAAAAAATCGAACCATTAACTGCTACATGACGGTATTTATAATTGGTCATCATTGTCCTGCTTTGAAAATAGAACTGTCCGTTATTTATGTTAAACACTTTATATATTAATATCATAATGTTACAATTAAAGCAAGACCTGTCCACTATCTACTTTTCTCAGTGCCGTATAGATGAAAGAAGGCAGGACAGAATAGAGGCATAATTTTGAAAACATGCTTAGTAGACTAACCTGCATAAATTTCAAGTTTGAAGTGAATACCTTTAATGGTTTTTGAGAAAAAGGCAAATATTCCAAGTCAAAATAGGAAATAATTAAGATGATTATCTGTCTCACAAAGGTGCATTTCTTTGGTGGTGAACAAGTACATGTACTTCAAGTTTAAATAGAATATCTTTGATACTAATTGAAATATGAACCTAAACAAAAACTTTAACCAAGGAATTCAATGTCAAAATGGGATAATACTGCAAAATGTTTTTAAATTAACCTTCTCCTTAGAGATTCCAATTTAAAGCAGAATTATAACAAATATAACAGCATTAATTAAGTAGAGCTAAATGAATATTAGATAGCAGCTTATGTGTTGTCATTGTTCCTTTTGACTCATGCAAGAAATGTATTTTTTAATAGAAGAAAAAAGATATTCTAGTGACACTTTATCTTGCTTTAATGTAGCCAGTGCCGCGTCATATATAAAAGATGTATTTTTGAATCCATAAAACAATTTGAACTATTGAATAAATATTTACCGCATTGAAATTATTAGTTATTAGTTGAAATAAAAAGCTCATTAACTTCGTTCTTTGTGAGGACGTATTCATATACATGGTCATCTCTGACAAATCTGGCTTTGTGGTCGTTGAAAATGCATGTGTAGGTGAGGAAACATACACTACAATACCACATTCGATTTTAGTCAAACACGTCGGAGAAGCATACTGTAATAAAGAATGCTTCAAAAAACATTTTCTTGTATAAAATATAATTACAATTTCATAACTGACCTTAACTGTCGAGGTCATTTACAGATAAAGGTCATACTTAAAAAATATTCAACATGAAGGTGATATGTGTTTTATGAATCAAGTCTGTCTATTATAATAAATGATAAAAAAGAAAAAATTGTGACAATTTAAGCAAATTCAAATAATTTGACCTTGATGATGAAGGTCATTTTAGGTTCAAGGTCATATTTGAATAATTCAATATCCATTCATATACATGGTCATCTCTGACAAATCTGGCTTTGTGGTCGTTGAAAAAGATACATGTGTAGGCGAGGTAACACATACTGCAGTCCCGACTACACTTTCTTTTGTTGTTGTTGGAGCACAACTAAAAATTCAGAATTTAAGATAATTAGTAATCGAATAGCATTTCTTTTCTTACTTTCCAGATACATTTTCGTAAAGGCACTGGTGTCATACCACATTCGATTTTAGTCAAACACATCGGAGAAGCATACTGTAATAAAGAATGCTTCAAAAAACATTTTCTTGTATAAAATATAATAAAAATTCATAACTGACCTTAACTGTCGAGGTCATTTACAGATAAAGGTCATACTTAAAAAATATTCAACATGAAAGTGATATGTGTTTTATGAATCAAGTCTGTCTATTATAATAAATGATAAAAAAGAAAAAGTTGTGACAATTCAAATAATTTGACCTTGACGGTGAAGGTCATTTTAGGTTCAAGGTCATATTTGAAAAATTCAATATCCCGGAATTTTTGTCCAATTATAAATCAGATTCGTAAATAAGCAACAAAGGTCATTCATAGACCAAGGTCATGTTTGAATTACTCAACATGGTGGTTCTGTTATTAGTGTCCCAAGTATAAACCAAATAAATAAATAAATGAATAAATAACAAAGTTATAGCCAAATGTAGCAAATTTACTTATTTGACTTTTTATGTCAAGTTCATAATTATTATCTAATCCCAAGGATTGCTGTGCCCAAGTATGAAAGCAATCCAATAGTTACTGACAACGTTATATATTGTCACATTCAAGAAATACTCATATAAATTAAATGAGACATGTAAGAAATAATTACTTTTTGAGTCTAGAAATGACCAAAGCCCAGGCTATGCAGTATAGTAGGGGATATGTATCAATATATCTATAGAAATCTTGAAGATCTGATGTATAATCTAAAGAAATTATACATGTGCTGGAATAACCATAATAAACCTCCGGAATCTTCCACTCTGAACTCTAATTAACCTCTGGTTATGTTATCAATAATTGAAAATAGGATCATTTTGGCACTACCCATCCTTTCCCTCGCTTGATTTCGAAGCTGCGTGGACGTGTTTACAGATAGAGCTAAATAAATTTGTATTAGACTGCAATTTCTCAACACTGAAAAATGTAAGTAGATCTAGAGTTTTTTACTTTAATCTTTTAAATAAACCCTTCTAATATAGTTATGTATTTAAACCTGCACGGAATTAGTGTTTTAAAACCTGTTATACTATCCACGTGACCAGGTCATGTGATTAATACAAAATGGCGGATTGGTAAAAGGAAAATACTTTGATGTTTTCAGGTAAACAAGCCAGAATGAATTTGATTTTTGTAATGAAATTAAAACCATTTAATTCTATCAGTGTTTATCAGCTTAAAATATGATATGTTTATAGTTTTACATCTGAATTTATTGTGATAACTGCAAAAAAATTGCAAGTTAGTAAAAACTGACAAGCTACAATTAGCACTGCAGTGTTAAGCTCATACAATCTGTTCTGAGTATAAATAGGTAATTATGATTGATTATGAGTTATTTGCAAAATTCTGCTTTGTTACTAGACTTTTTAACAGTTACACCACTCATTGCAGTAGAATGTATACGAAACTTTGTGTAAATTTAATTTGAAGTGTAACTTCGCACTAAACACAAATTACTTTACCCGACTGCAAAAAATTGTTTTTATTTCATTTCAGACAGCAAATTTATGTCTAATTGGGAGAGCATTGTTCGCCATGTTATGTCTCACACTTTGTCCCAGGAAGTTGCCCTAGAATGCAACTGGGTTGGAAAAGGCTCGAAAAAACCATTCGAAAAACTTAGCTATAGACTTACAAAAGTCATATTAGGTTTGTATTTTTGCTTTTTCAAAGGTGATTTCACCGGTGCTAGAAAATTATTTTACACCGTGGGTGTAAGATGTGACTCTTGTGTTGTAAATGATCATCATAACTCTATTTGTATTTTGACAGAATTATGCCCCTTTTTAACTTAAAAATTTTAGGTTAAAATTTTTAATTATGTCAAATATCTCTGTTACTATTAAATCTATTGACTTGTAATTTAAAATATTTCTTTACTATCAAAGTCTTATCCCCTTAGCTCTATTTGCATTTTGACAGATTTATGTGCTTTTTTACTAGTAAATTATAAATAAGTAGTGTATATTTAAATAAAATCAGTAAACTGTATAAATTGCAGATGCTGTAAGAGGAAGAAGACAGGGGTCTACTAATAATGAAATCGAGAAGACAATGAAGGAGTGCCTAAGATATGCCAAGGATAGGGAAGGCGGGCGGAGGAAGAGATTGACTAAAATGTTGCAACAACAAAGAGAAGAAAATGAAAATGATATGTGAACAACATTTAGTAATAAATTGTAGTAATTAGTATATATATATTTTGTTCTTTTATGAAAACAAGGCATTGGGCCAACAAAGGGCCAATGTTTATTGTAGGAAACCAGTCAGTGGGCCAACGGGGGGCCAACAAGAAGAAGGGAAACCAGTTGTTGGGCCAACAGAGGGCCAACAATAGGAAGGAAAACCAGTCATTGGGCCAATGGAGGGCCAACGATAAGAGTAGGAAAGCAGTCGTTGGGCCAACCATATACCAACCGTTGGCCCAACGTTGCCCCAATTAGCAAATTGACATTGGGCCAACGCTGGCATTATGTGTTGGGCCAACAAAGCAAATGTAATTGGCCCAACGTTGGGCCAACTACTGTCTGCTATCTGGGTAGCAAATTATAGCAAAACTTGTAAAATTACAATACATTGTAATTTGACCAACAATGCCACGGTCATTAGTTTATATAGAATTTATTTTAGTTCGTTTGTTTCGGAAACTATAAGCTTTCAGATACAATCTCGAATGTGTTCCTGGAACAAATCAGTACTATGTAACGAGTGTAATTTTTCTTGCACAAGGAAGCAACGGCTTACCCCTAACGGGATTTGAACCCAAGCAGTCAGATATAACGAGATTACTAGTTCAACGCGCTCATCACTCGGTCAACGTCATGAATGAATCAATGTCAAATTCAGTTTGATCTACTTAACTGCATAGACAATTCATTCATAAATAATAAAATCATAGCCAATTATAGCAACAATAATTTGATCTTCGAGGCTGACATCATTTATGAGTAAAGGATACGGTAAATTTTGTCAATTGAAAGTCTTGTCCAAAGAATTGTTATGTCCAAGTATAAAGCCAATTGATTCAGGATTAACAAAGTAATAGCCTATTAAAGCAAAAATCAACAAAATTGAAAGTCTATGTCATTTATGAGTCAAGGTTAAGTTCAATCTGGTCTACTTATAGGTCTTGTCCAAAGGATTCTTGTGTCCAAGTATGTAGACAATCCATTAAGAGAAAACATGAACAATGTTAAAGTTTGTGGACGGTAACAGGAGCGGGCAAGATATCTGAATGTATAGCTTAATCATTGTCTTCGAAAAAGTCGAGTAAAGTATGTAAACGTTTCATAACATACTTTGTTCTACTTGTCCAAACTTCTGTTTCCGTCCCTGTATTATTTCCCATAGTTGTTTCATTTAAATTAGAGCCAACCTCCGTAGTTTGTGGTTTGGTTTTTACTTGCATTAGAGATTCTTCGCTGTTATGCTGTATTGACAACAGCAATCTGCGCTGGTTTTTTATAAATACATACTCGGCAAAAGCAACTAAAAAACAACAAAAGATGTTTATAAAACAAACATGCCCCCTTGTCAGCATGTCGGAAGTTGCATGCAATGTTGCTTAGAAAACGTTTGTCATTCAAGGTCAACGTACCTTGACCTTTGATTCCTCGACCCAAAATTAAAAAGGGGCCCTCTACTGCCCAAGTCACGCCCCTTTTAAGTTTTGCCAAGGACCAATTTGCTGTAAAGGTGTAGCTCAAAAACCGTTACGACATTCTAGGTCAATTAGACCTTGATTTTTGATCTTGCGACCTGTGCAGTTTGAGGGCCTATTGGTTTCCGAGATATTGGTCCCCTAGCACAGATAGTGACGGCTTGTACTCCATTGAAATTGCATGAAGGTAAATAATCACCACTTTGTGCTTCAAGTACTAAGTGGGCAGATTGGCCCTCATTAAGCACAGTCTACATACATGCACATACATACAACAGTTAACGTACTTGCATATCTTAACACGCCCTGGTTTCTTCTAGATTCAGCTGAATTAATTATATCACCCCAAATTCCATATCCTGTCATCAAGACGCTATAAGCCAGCAACTTGTCATCACTATGAACTGACATGATATTGGCCGGGGACTCATAGCCTTTTGCAAAATAAAATGATATTTGATAATACGTACAGTACCTACATAGTTCAGTGTTCGTACATGATAGAAGCAAACGTGCCAAAATTTCAAGACTTTCCTATCGACTATATTGAAATGATTCATTGTGTCATTTTTTAAATAAGAGAATGTTTCAAATGCAATTAACGTCATGTAATTCCTGCAGAATAATATCAATAATATAGTAGTCTTTATTGAATATTGTACAAATTTTGCTTAAGGTGAAAACAAACAAGCAGAACAATACAAAATCCGAGAATGTTCTTGAATTTGTATACATACAGCAACATCAATATTGCAAGAACTAAGGAAGGACATATAGTATAACTTAAACTGTTTACCTATTGCAATTGACAAAGCTGCTGTTACAACATCGCAATTACCATAACACCCTAATGCTCTTCCATTGCCAGTACCTATATAAATACATTATAAAATATTTTACCAATCAACATAGTTGTTTACTAAAACCATTTCATATTTTTGAATGACTAAACAAGTTAAATGGTAAAGATGTATGATAAAATATGGAAACATATGTAGTGTTGATTGTTACATACATGAATTCCATGTGTACATATGTATCGTATGTATTCAATACAAATATTAATATAATGATGTAATGTTGACATCATTCTGGCATCTAAAATAGTGTTTAATCAACTCCTCATTGCTTAACCTAATGCAGCGAGTTTGATATGGTGGCTAATTTGTACAATGTATTTTCACTTCGCGTGCGCTAGGCAAAAAAAACACCAAAACACAATAGAAACTTTAGGCAAAATAACGACACAATTTGTCGTATAATCGTGGTTTCGCCTAGCACCCCGCCATGTATTATAAAGTATCAATCTGATTAAAATCATCTCATAATTAACGCTACACTACATGCCAATCAGACTGTATATTGTATATACTAGTAGGTACCTACCACATGGTATCACTCCAATAGGGATATCAATGGCCGGTACAGTTTCATCAGGATCATCAATATTAACATTTTGTTCTGTTGCTAGGCGTCTCATAAGACCATTTACACATTCTTGGTATAACCCGTCCCCACCTACCAACACCAATCTAGAAATTTCAAAATATACATATAGTGCAATTACAGATTATTAAATCAATACGTGTCATCAGAAATGGTTCAATTACAAATACAAATTTTTATATATATCATTTATCAGACAGTGAATTATTCTCTCTAAATCTTACATATTTACATAGAATGATAGCCTTCTTACATGATAATAATTATTCATCTGGAAAAAATCATTACATTAAATGTTTAAACCCTGACAGAAAAATTGTCAAACAAGTCGAATATCTTTTGGCTTGTATCCTTTCAGGAATATATGGTAAAGGTTGTTCAAAAATCAAAATCCAAAAGGAGATAACATTATGTTAAAAACGTTAAAAAGTTAATAATTATTTTTATTTCTTTTATTTCTCTCAATGTAAATGCAAAACTACACTGCGGAGAAACTTATTGGCGTTAACTTACCCGTTGATGGAGTTGAGATCATAGGTTGATAATATTTCCTCCGTATGATGAGCCCTTTGTGTCACTATAAAATATTACGTTTATTTTTATTATCTTTAAAGTATATTTACTATAAAATATTACGTTTATATTTATTATCTTTAAAGTATATTTACTATAAAATATTACGTTTATATTCATTATCTTTAAAGTATATTTACTATAAAATATTACGTTTATATTTATTATCTTTAAAGTATATTCACTATAAAATATTACGTTTATTTTTATTATCTTTAAAGTATATTTACTATAAAATATTACGTTTATATTTATTATCTTTAAAGTATATTTACTATAAAATATTACGTTTATATTTATTATCTTTAAAGTATATTTACTATAAAATATTACGTTTATTTATATTTATTATCTTTAAAGTATATTTTCTATAAAATATTACGTTTATTTTTATTATCTTTAAAGTATATTTACTATAAAATATTACGTTTATATTTATTATCTTTAAAGTATATTTACTATAAAATATTACGTTTATATTTATTATTTTTAAAGTATATTTACTATAAAATATTAAGAGGATATTTTTTCGTTTTGAGTGAAATATGGAAATATATTTTTCACGAAACATGATAAAATGCCACATATTTTCACGAGCCGGTACGGCGAGTGAAAATATGTGGCATTTTATCATGTTGAGTGAAAATATATACCATATTTCACGAAAAACGAAAAAAATAACCTTTTTATTTAATTTCATTATCAAAGAAAATGGTAACGAATCCCCTTGCTTGCTACCAACTGCAATTGTACAGCGCGCAGTAATTTATGCGTAAGCACGCGCTGCTTGGCGCAACATTGTGACGTCATGTAAAACAACTCTTTAAAACGTCTGTACAGCGTCAATTACTGAATAAAAGATATTGGGCGTTCGGATTAATTTTCTTAGTTAGACCATTTTCTATCATTCTAGACAGTTTTCAAAACAAAATTCAAGAAAAAGTTGTTTTGTATTTATCAGATTTTTCAAAAGAAAACGGCGAAAGAAGTCCGTTAAAATAAATATGAGTTTTGACTCCGCCCACTTTCATATTTATTTTTCATATTTATTTTTAAAAAATATGAAATATATTTGACTGATATAGCACCATATTTCATGGGTAAAATTAAATAATACGTTTATATTTATTATCTTAAAGTATATTTACTATAAAATATTACGTTTATATTTATTATCTTTAAAGTATATTTACTATAAAATATTACGTTTATATTTATTATCTTTAAAGTATATTTACTGTAAAATATTACGTTTATATTTATTATCTTTAAAGTATATTTACTATAAAATATTACGTTTATATTTATTATCTTTAAAGTATATTTACTATAAAATATTACGTTTATATTTATTATCTTTAAAGTATATTTACTATAAAATATTACGCTTATATTTATTATCTTTAAAGTATATTTACTATAAAATATTACGTTTATATTTATTATCTTTAAAGTATATTTACTATAAAATATTACGTTTATTTTTATTATCTTTAAAGTATATTTACTATAAAATATTACGTTTATTTTTATTATCTTTAAAGTATATTTACTATAAAATATTACGTTTATTTTTATTATCTTTAAAGTATATTTACTAGTCTTATACAAAATCTTTTCTTTAGCCAACCTTGGTGTTTGCCAAAGATACAAATGAAATAAGCCTCGTAAACTTATCTATTTTGTTTTCTTTCTTTTTTGAGACCAGCATGCATGCATTTTTAATGTGAGTAAATATTTTAACGTGGATAAAATCTATAACAATAAAAGTTGATATCTTAATCGGAGTTGTGGTATTTCTTTTATTATTTACATTACAAACT